GAAGAGAAGAGGGAGGTTGGTGAGGGAAAGAGAAGCCGGCAGCCATAGCTGACCGAAGGGTTGACCAGGGGGCGACCGGGAGTTGACAGCAGCGTTGACCGGCGTTGACCAAGACTTTGACCAAGCTGGAGCCCGTAAAATCTCGCCAAGCCTTCAGCCTATCCCTCGCCCTATGGATGTGCACACACCCAGAGGTACTTGCTGAGTCCAGTCTGTCTGTCTCTTCTTTCAGCATGGAGTCTTTTTTGTCTAGGTGATAGTACTATGTGGATGAAGGATAGGGCCTTGTTGACCAAACCCCTACGGGTTGAGTAGGGCTAAAGACTGTGCCTGACGACTCGACTTTCCCGGAGGACACGAACCCTCCTAAGGACCGGTACTGACCGGCGGGCTGCTCGGTGTGGCACGGTAGGCCCAAAATCCGAGTTGTGGGCTGCACAACAGGCCGTCTAAGTGTTGAGAGACCTGCTGATCGCATCGTCATGTCAGCGACGTTAAATAATTCATGAGGAGTTACGGGGGATCTCCTTAAATGCCTCCTGATCAGCAACAGGTCTAGTAGTGACAGCCATAGTATAGGTCTAGGCTAGAGACCCTAGTTGGCAGGATCCCTGTCCGGATTCTGTGAGTCTTAGATTGAGTCAGTAGGTTTTCAGTCAGGGGTTAGAATCTAAGTGGTGAGGTTTGGAACTGCTAATCCAGTTGTGCACTTATCACCATGGTTGACACCCGGAGTGGGAAGAGCACTAGCCCCTACACCCAGGAACAACAAGAGAAGATGACCGCCTTAGTAAGAGAGAACAAAGAGAGGAAGGAGCTCCTGAAACAGGCGAAGCTAAGGACAATCGCAGAGGAGCAGGTGGCGAAGATGAAGAAACTGGAGGAGGAGATGAAGAGAGTTCAGCTGGAGGAGGAAGAGAGGAGAAAGGCTGCTGAAGAGGAAGCAGCAGCCGAAGAAGAAAAAGAGAGAAAACGTATTGAAAGCAGAGAGGAGAGTAGTGGCACGAAGAAGGATGAAGATGCAGAGATGGAGAAAAACATCAGCGAGTGGATTGCTAATTTATCGTTGGGGGAGGATGAGGAGGCAGAGTTCTGTGTGCCCCAGGACGAGAGGGATGCGTTAGCCCAGGAGCTAGCAGCAATGGAGGACCCCCTGGAAAGACAAGAAAGAGAGGAGGAGAAAAAGTTGGAGTGGAAATTGAGAATGAAGAGAGAAAAGAAGAGGAGGAAGGATGAAGTTAACAAGTTGACCGCAGAAGTGGCAAAAGTGAAAGACTGCAGGCAGGAGGTGCAAGCGCAGACACACATGCCTGCCAAAATGGACAAGATGCTGGGTTACTTGGAGGTCTTGAGCGGCAATGAGCGCAGCTTGGATGGAGGAACGCCAGGCCAATTGAGCTCAAGAGGTAGCCCTGAAGGCCATGCGGTCCGGTTTTCGGGATTTTGCGCGCGAGATGGTTACCCACGTTGGAGGGGAAGTCAGGCGGTTGAGAGACAACGTGGGGAAGTTCTGTGAGGGTGCCATTGAGGGCGCCAAAGTAGTAGCCGTTGCTGAGAGCGTGGTCAGACCCCTCAAGGAACCAGTCAAACTCAAGTTTCCCGATGCCTATGGCGGGAAATCTGATGAGAACTTCGATAACTGGGAGGCTAGCATAAACAGTTACGTTTATTTACAGCACATCGTACAGGACGACCAGGTCCTAGTTGCCTTCCAGGCCCTCAAGGACGAAGTGGCTAGTTTTGCTAGGTCCCTCACGTGCGCGGCCAGTTGTGAAAACAACATGGTCGCCTATTCCAAGGTTACCCTTCTCCCTCAATTCTTCAAGCTCCTTAGGGAGCGATTCGCTGATCTTCGCAGGGGCGCTACAGCCTCTGACAAGCTCCAAACCATCCACTCACGGTAGTGGAGTGGAGGAGTGCCAATGCACTCAAGCCAGTGATGGACGACCTGGTGGTCGTCCCGGACCATGGGGTGACTGAGTCCCAATTGGTCCAACTATTTTATCGTGCCATGCCAGAGCCCCTGCGTTGGCACTTCTTTGACAAGTCCCAACAGCCCACCATGACGTACGATGCGCTCAGTAGAGAGGTGGTGCTGTTTGAGGCCAAGTCCATGCCAGTTTCCACTTTCTGGCATAAGGACTTAGACAAGGGCAAAAAGTGGAAAGGCCGTACCATCTCTGGCCAAGTCAGGGCCAAGGATCACATGATCCTTACCTTAGAGGAGGGTGGTACAAATGAGGTCCCATATAGTCAGATCGAGTGGGGCCTTGAGGAGGAGGACAGTAGCGTGGGACAGGGGAGGTCCTATGCGGCTGTCGCGGCTGGAGGGAGGCCGCAGGGTAGAGGAGGAGGCCAGGGCCAAATGGGCCAGGCCATGGGAGGCCGAGGACCGGGTGCACAGGGGGTTGGCGGACAAGGGAACCGCCAAGTGGGAGGTAGGGGTCAAGGTCCCCCGCCAAATCGTCAAGGTTCTTGTCGGTCCCCACAGCGACGAGGTGGAAGGTCACCTCAAGGAGGATGGCACCCGGGCTTGCCACAGGGCAGGCCCTGGGAAGACTTGGGCTTGGATCAGCGCGTATGGCAGGAACGCGTGAACTTGGGTCAATGCGTGTTTTGTGGTGACCCGACCCACATAATTAAATTTTGTCCTCAGTATAGACATGCCCGATGGGCTGCTCAGCAGTCAAAAGGCAGCCGCCAGTAGGGGTCGCAACTGCCCCTACTTCAAGGCCATGTGGGGAAGCGAGCGCGCGCACACAGGAAACTCCCAAACCACATGAGCCTATGGCAGAGGTTGCAGGCCCGTGCCTAACTAGCTGTCCAGAGACTGCTTGTGTCAGTGTCTCTCTAGGCACGTCCCTCATCGGTGTGGCAGAAGAGCTGAAGGAGAGGATGCCAGCCTGGGCCAAAATGAAGAAGGAGAGTAAAGGACAACTAATCTTGGTAGATGTAGAAGTATTTAGAAGTAGAGTAGGGGCCCTTATAGACTCAGGGGCCACCTGCAGTTACATTAGTCGTAGGGCGTTGAAGAAGCTGAGGCTAGGCTTAAAAGTCCAAAAGTTGGCAGACCCCATAGTTAGTGTCCTCGTAGACAACCGCACGATGCGAGTTGAGGACTACGTAGAGGGAGTCCAGGTGTACTTTCGCCTAGAGAAAGATGGGAAGGTGGAGAAAGTTCTCCATTCCTTGACTCTCCTCGTTCAGGACGACCTTCCTTTTGATATAGTATTAGGAATGGATTGGGGAGAGGCAGCAGCGACCACACTCCACTTAAGAGAGCATGGGCTCCCTAGTCCGTCAGGCGAGGTTAAGACTACCCGCCTGTTTCATGTATCAGGTGTAGATAACACCTTGGCACATTGTTGTCTCAGTGCTTCCGCGTTCGCGAGACTAGTGAAAAAGGAGCAGTTAGAGGATCAGGTCTTCGTAATGTATGTGAGGCCTGTCGCTGAGGCTAAGGAAGGAGATAGTTCCATAGACCCAACCATTGCCAAGCTGCTGGAGGAATTCAAAGATGTAACTGAGTCGCCGACAAGAGTAGTGCAGTGACCCATCCAGCATAGGATAGAGATAGAGCCTGGCAGTAGGACTCCTAAGGGAGCAGTCTACAGGATGTCCTCTAGAGAGTTAGAGGAGATACGCAAGCAGTTAGACGAGCTCCTCGAGAAATGTTGGATCAGGCCCAGTTCATCTCCTTTTGGAGCACCGGTCTTGTTTGTCCCCAAGAAGGAAGGAGAGCTTCGTATGTGTATAGACTATAGGGGTTTGAATGCAATTACTGTGAAGAATGCTGAACCGATGCCCAGGATAGACGATCTTCTAGATCAGGTGCAGGGTTGTAAGTATTTCTCTAAGATAGATTTAAAGTTTGGATATCATCAGATAGAGGTCCATCCTGATGACCAGTACAAGACTGCGTTCCGGACTAGATATGGGCATTATGAGTTCATAGTGATGTCCTTTGGACTAACCAACGCTCCAACCACTTTTCAGCGTTGTATGAATGACCTGTTCAGACCGTGGTTAGATAAGTTTGTAGTAGTTTATCTAGATGATATATTAGTCTCCAGCAAGACCCTCCAGGAGCATCAGGGTCATTTGAGGCAGGTCTTGGAGAAGCTACGAGAGGCTAACTTCAAGATCAACTCAAAGAAGTGTGTGTGGGCCAAGACACAAGTCTTATACTTTGGCCACGTAGTAGACGGAGATGGCATTAAGCCAGAGGACAGCAAGATAGCGGCAATTAGAGATTGGCCGATGCCCCGCACGTTGACTGAGTTGCGGTCGTTCCTAGGCCTAGCTAACTATTACAGGATGTTCGTGAGGAACTTCTCCACTATCGCCGCTCCCTTGAGCAGGTTGCTAAAGAAAGAGGCAATCTGGCAATGGGACAAAGACTGTACGTTTGCGCTAAAGAGGTTAAAGCGCGCATTGATAGAGTACCCAGTCCTCAAAGTAGCTGATCCGTCCTTGCCATTTGTCGTCACCACGGATGCAAGTCAGTATGGTATAGGCGCTGTGTTGCGGCAAGACGACGACAATGGCTACAGACCCGTAGAGTTTATGCCAGCGAGGATGCCCTCAGAGAAGGTTGCCACCTCGACGTACGAGAGGGAATTCTACGCTCTCAGGCAGGCTTTAGAGCACTGGAAGCATTATCTGCTTGGGAGGCACTTCAAAGTCTACTCAGAACACGAAACTCTTAGATGGTTAAAGACCTAGGCCAAGATGACACCTAAGCTAACTAGGTGGGCCGCTGAGATAGATCATTATGACTTTGAGCTCAAACCGGTCAAAGGCAAGTACAACGTAGTTGCAGATGCTCTAAGTAGGAGATCAGACTACTTTGGAGCCATAATACACTATCTGGATATAGGGAAGGACCTGCAAGAGAAAGTCAGACAGGCGTATGCGCAGGACCCTATCTATAGTGCCCTCCTCAAGCGAGTTAAGAAGGCCCCAGAGACCGAACCAGACTACCGCACTACTGAGGGACTATTATTTGAGAAGAGTAAGGTAGTAGACCGCCTGTGCATTCCCAAAAGTGAAGAGATCCGTAGTTTGATCTTAGGGGAATGCCATGACACAGAGGGACACTTCGGTTGGCAGAAGACTTTAGCCAATCTGATGCGTGCATATACCTGGCCAGGAATGCAAGCTGACTGCATAGAGTACGTTCGCAGTTGCAAAGTTTGCCAAAGAAACAAGACCACAACGCGTGCCCCTCTAGGTCTTCTCAGACCCTTGCCTATTCCAGACCAGCCGGGAAACTCATCTCCATTGATTTTATGGATGTCGATGTCAAGAGTAGACACGGCCAAAGCCAAGTCATGGTCATAGTTGGCCGATTTATTAAGTATGTTGTTTTTGTTCCCTTGCCTGTAGAGGCACGTACGGATTTAGTTATACGAAAGTTCTTTGATTTTTGGGTTAGTGAGAATGGAGTCCCGTTGTCAATAGTTAGCGATAGAGATAGTCGCTTCACCAGCCAGAACTGGCAAGAACTCATGGGAGTTTACGGATCTAAGTTGTTGATGTCCTCTGGCCGCCACCCAGAGACCAACGGTCAGACCGAGCAAATGAACAAGATCCTACAGCAAGTTCTGCGCATGTACATTAGACCCGACCAGATCAACTGGGACGAGATGTTACCTAAGGTAGCTAGCGCATACAATAACAACGTGCATCTGTCTACATGTCGCACTCTCAATGAGCTGCACAAGTCCTTTAGACCGCGCAGACCATTCGAAGGACTGAACCGGGACCAAGTTCACAGGTTACCGCCCGGTACAAGGGAGTTTGCGATACAGCACGAGAAAGAATTAGTTACCGTTGTTGAAAACCTCAGGAAGGCCCAGCACAGAATGATAGAACAGGCTAATAAGCACCGTCGCCCCTCGCAGTTTCAGGTAGGTGACTTAGTCTGGGTCAAGTCTAAAGAGTTTGCACCTGAGGAGCACATCTCGCAGAAGTTACTACCTGCATATAGAGGACCATGGCCGGTTCTAGAAGTCAACGGCGGAGAGGATGGGCCGTCCTACACAATAGAGATTCCAGCACACCTCCACACTTACCCTGTATTCCATGCCTCAAAGTTGTTGTCGTGTGTCACAAGTCAACAGTTCCCTTCAAGAAGATCCATGATCCCGCCGGATATGGATGGAAGATATGACATTGACGGCATTGTAGATGAAGATGTGTTCAGGACAGGACGTAGAGGTCGTCCACAGAAACAGTATAAGGTCCGGTTTGCTTATCAGGAACCGGAAGACAACTGCTGGTTTACTTGAACAAAACTTCTAGAAACAGCTCCCGACATAGTCAGAGCCTACGAGCGTGATAAGAAGGGTAAAGGTCCTGCCTTGGACTGAAATATTCTCGGAGGACCTCGAATTTAGGACGGCGGGAGTGAAACGGTTTTCACCTCTTTGCAGTAGCAGACGGAGATCCCAGGGTTCGATCCCTAGACCTTGCCCTACCTGTGTACAGTACCTGTGTAGACCCCGAGAGTTGAACCTGTGACCTGTGTATTCGTAAACAGTTGGTAGGCTGTCATAGGTCCGTAGGTAGCAGGGGTTCGATCTGTAGACCTGTAGAATAGAAGTTTTTAGCGAGTTCCAGAAGTCTTAGTTGTAGTCCTTCTAGAAGGTCAACAAGTGGGCAAGTGGGCAAGTGGTGAGTCAAATGGTGGACTAAACTGCAGTGCAATTGCAGTACGACCTCGATAGGTTAGCAGTGAGTCCCCACTCAGTCAGTGGTAAGGTCCAGTCAGTCCAAGTCCGGTTCAGCAAGTACCACAAGGGATTGTGAGCACCATGGGCCGATGGCAAAGGGCAGACCATCGAGTTTCAGAAGTATAAATCAAGAGGCAGCGGCTAGCCGTTCATTCATTCCTGCGTGAGCCATGCGGAAGCGCTGCCACAACGACTTGTGCAAGGAGGTCTGCAGTGAGCCCGGAGCAGAAGTGGGCGAGAGAGAAGGAGCGTAGCATAGCGATAGGGTAGTTGCGGCCATAGCCGCCATAGCTAGAGTTAGTGTGTAGTTAGTGTGTGTGTGTGTGTGAGTTCAGAGAGTCGCGTGTGGGATATCCAGGGTGATCTGATGTATGTGAACAGTGAGTTGTTTGGGCGCTGAGTCGCCATAGCCAATTGAAAGTGAACTCGTATCTGGATGCCATATCTATGAGTTTTGAGTGGCCGCATGTCGCCAGTTTGTTGTGCTACTGTTTACATGCATGAAAAGTGTGAATGAAAGCGAGTCTGATTGCACTATCCCGATTCGAACTCCGGTCCGTGTTTTTTCAACAGTTCATTGATTTTGGTTCAACTGGTTCTATCTGGGGGCTAGGTCCCACTTGCACGAATTAAGAGATAGTGACCGTAGATAGCAAAGATCAATGGCCAAAATCTCCTAATTTGCGCAAGTGGGACCTCGCCCCGATTCGAACTCCGGTCCGTGTTTTTTCAACCGTTCATTGGCATACCAATTGAGTCAGGCCAGTTGGTGCCTGCGGCTGGTCCTACTCATTCTTCGTTGGGAAAGTTTTGCTATGACCATCCCGCATTGCATTGGTGGTTTACAGGTACACGTATGTTTAGCGCTATGTGTCGTTCAGCCGCATGAGGTGGGTCGAGCTTCCTTTTTTTTCTTTTTTTTTTCTTTTGTTCCGAGCTTGGTACGTCACAAGATGTTGACTTTAGAAACGATAGAAGACAGTATGTGAAGTGGACATCAGTAGGACAAAAAGAGGGCATATCATAGCCACTGGGTAGCTAGGCCAATTACCCAGCGATTCAAAGTGCAACAACTGACGATTACATGACAGGCAAACATGCAAGGACTCTTTAGCATCAAAGGCATCCACACAAAGAAGGGGAGAGGTGAGAGGGGAACAAGAAGGAGGAGAAAGAAATGGTGGATCGAACTGATCACCATCCTTTTTTTTTTTTTTTTTTTTTTTTTTT